CCCCAAAACCCCAAAACCCCAAAACCCCAAAACCCCTTAGCCAGATATTTTAATTGATAATTATATTTATTTAATTAATGAGTGAGGGAGAGATACTCAACACATCAACTATCCTTCAGAAAGTGAAGGATGGAAAGAAAATAACTGAAAAAGAGCATTCCTATCTTTCCCACCACTTTAGTAACGAGTTTTTCCAACATGAGAGGTAAAATGTCTTTGTTTGGATATATATTTAATATTTGGAACTTTTTGTTGATAAATCTAGAGTCTCGCATAACAACACAATCAATGCTCTCCCTTCTCAGACGTTCCATATTACAGGTATTTAGAAGTCTAAGCTAGGAGTTTCGAATGTTGAGCTTATAGTAATCGGAGAGGGATCTGATGAAAGAGGAGCTTTCTTAGAAGGCATTCAAAAGTATTACAATCATGTCCAGTACTCAATAGGGTATTTTCAGTCAGAATATTATTTTAGCATTGGCAATGTGTATTACAGATTCACCTTCTATAAAACCAATGAAAGTTTGATGGGACAAGATGAGGTAGAAGACACAAAATAATTATGAACAATTGATTCAGATAACTCTGAAATTTTATTCAAAGGCAGTAAATACTGAAATTCCAGAAAATATTTTTGATGAGAGAGACATGATCATCGCATCAGTAAACCCATGAGAGAAATCTTCATTAGATGTTCTACATTCTTTGAATGAACTTATTATCAAATAAATCGGAAAAGATTAGAGATGAAGGTATTTAGGAGTGACAATTTTAGATGTAAAATTAGAGGGTGAGCTTACAACAAAACAATATTATCAAGACAAATACAGGAAAATGGTAAAGATTGTGGTGAACCACTGCGACTCTAGCCACAGAATCGTTGGGACCAACAAGCTGCTGAGAACTGCAATAAAGTACGGCTTTGGGATAGTGGAACTCAGGTAAGGATCTGCATAAACTTGTAGCTCAGAGACAGGAGTTAACCTAGATTTCTTGATGAATCACCTCATAGAAGTACTTATTCCTGAAGAAGCAGTTGAGAAAATTGAGACAATTGATGTCAAAGATAACTATCAGAATAAAGAAATGAAAGGTATTTAATAAGTCTTTTTAACGTCGATAGGAGCATTGGAGAGATTGAAAGAAAAGTATGGGGACACAATAGAGATAATAACATAATATTTCAATCTAGTGAATTGCATTTGGGGTTTTGGGGTTTTGGGGTTTTGGGGTTTTGGGG